GTTAATTTTTTACAAGTCATTTTTGGAATGGAGATTCATTTTTCTATTGAATTCCGTTTTCTAAGGAAATCATTAATTAATTTTTCCTTCATAAACGTGCAACCAAACAAACAGAGCCCAGCTTTACATGTGCAATTCAATACATTCATCTACATTCATCCCCCAAAGTCCAAACAGAATCATGACTCTCGTCACCTATACGTCTAGGCACATTGTAAAGCAGGACATCATCTCATATGGGTAGGAGAACTTAAATTATTTTTAAATAATTAATTTATTAATTTGTGAACAGATGTGGTTAAAGTTTGAAGTATCGATATATGTCGCATTGTATCATGTGTATTATATAAATGTCCAGAGTTTAGGAAACGATAAATACTAAGGGGGTGTTGTATGATTTTTTTTTATTAGTGGTTCCAAAAATAAATCAAAATCATTTTGTTTGAAAATAGATTGTTTCTTAAAACAATAAATAAATCAATAAATATGTTTTTAATTGTATATGTGTTTCGTTTTCAAAAACTAATTCTTGAATTTAGCTTTAAAAACATGTTTTCATTTGATTATTCAATATCATGTTCTATAAATCATATAATTTCTATACTAGAAAATTTGTCTTTGTTTTAAAAGTCAATATTTTGTTGATTTTAAAAACACGTATTGTTTTTTGAAAACCAACTTATTTTTCCCTTTGAAAACAAAAACAGAGTTTAAAAATATCTGTGAAATTTTTTTAAATGTTAGTAATCAACCTCACATAGCTGTCTGTGAAATATTCAACTGAAAATAAAAAATAAAAATACCAATTATTGGAAACTCATGATACCCAATTTTTGTGGGTATCCATATTTTGAACCTTGGCTGTGGTGTATTATACATGTTTTTTATCTATTAGAAAATTAAGAAGAGTTGTTAGATTGTCTAAAAAAATAAGAAAAGAAAGAAAGAGAACCAAGGCCAATCTAAAATATTAGATATCTATTGGATGCTTTGAAATAAGTGCAATAATTTTGATAATATGTGATTAGATCGATTCCACACCATCATCCCCTTAAGGCTGTGTTTGGTTTGAAAGAAAAAGTAGCAAATTCTTTCAAACCAATCACAGCTTAAATGACAGTAATAAAATACATGGAAGATGGAACCCACAATCATTTAATTTCTCACTGTGGGTCCCATATATTTTTCACTGGTGTGGGGTATTGCCACTGGTTCCACAGCCTGTTAATTAATTACAATTATCGCATTCAGCTAATCTGAATTTTAATTCAAGCAGTGTTCTTAGACCTGGCCATTTGAACCTAAGATCTGATCACAATCCTGGTTCTGACCAACACCACCAGTTATCCATGGGATACCAGTCTTTCCTATTATTTTATTTTTTGTTATGAATTGATCCATTTGACCTGGATGGTATTGTAACTGATGGTTTCAAGAGGACATTTTAAGGGGTGTCAGTTATATTTAAAAAGTCCGTTTCGAATTCGTGATTTAATATAATTGAATTAAATTTGGATAATTCGAATATCTAATCAGTCGAATTTAGATATGACATAATTCAATTTGATAAATATCTGAATTCGACCAATTATTTAATTTTTATAAATAATATATAAAATATTTAAATATTTTATATAATAACTAAATTATATAAATAATTTATATATTTATACAATTTAAATAAATAAAATATTTATCTTATATATTTATTAATTAGCTAAAATAATTAATTGGTCGAATTCAAATTTGAATATTGACGGTTATCGAATCTTTTATTCGGATTTAAATTTGGATATTACTTGATTTGATTCGAATTCGATCTATTTACACCTTAAACATCTTAATAACAAGTTGGTTTCATGTATGTTACATTTCTGACCAATCAACCTTATAAACAAGGCCTACTTAAACTGTTTCTTTCCCTCAACTTTCTCTTTCTCCTTTCTCACTTATATTTTTCTCTTTTTGTCAAAACCAAACAAGTGATTAACTACGACTCTACATGGATCAAAATATATCGTATACGGAGCACGCTATGTATACACACTGATCATCTATCAGTGTGATTTTAACCCAAATCATTTACTTTTAAAGTATGCTCCTAGACCACTAATAAGTCAAATAAATAATAATATATAATTATATTCTATTAAAATTTAGAAAGAATGATCTTCAAAATTAGTAAATGTTAAATTAATTACTAGTATTTTATAAAATTCATATAAAAATGTTTTTTAATCTCAAATTATTAAAATAATAATTTAATTTACATTAAATAACTAGTGTATTTATCATTTATAAAAAGCAAAAAATATTGTTTACAAAATATTTGAGAATTTAATGTATTTATAAATAAAATTTTATGATATATGTAGGTATCTACTACATTAATTGTAATGCATTTCTTCTTATGTACCATTAACATATGCATTTTCTTATGTATTTATACCTTATTTATAATTATTTCAACCTTAAACTTAGTGTTATCAATGCATTTGCAAGAATTATTGCAATTTCCTTGATGTATTGAAGTGTATCTACTAATATATAGACTTGTAATGTGGGTCATGCCATGCCACCACAACATGGATTGAAGGTGGCCCGGATGCCATCCGTGTTGTGTCGTGTTGGGCCTTGGGCCTTGGGCCTTGGTAGGCTGTGCTTGGGCAGCACGGTCCCCTTCCCAGCAGGTCAGGCCCGGTATGGCCTGTGGCCTAGTTCCCAATAGTGCCGGGTCTGAGGAACCAGGCCATGGCAGACCTAGCCTAGGCCGCTGGTCACCTGGTCCTATTTTTTTCTTTTCCAGTTTTTCTAAACTAAGAAAAAATAGAAAAAAAAAAAGTAACATCTAACAGCAGAAAATTAATATGAATAATAGCCAATAAGTTAGAAAAAATGTGAAAATTTTATTTCACTAAGAAAAAATAGAAAAAAAATGCAACATCTAATAGCAAAAAATTAACATGAATAATAGACAATAAGTTAGAAAAAATGTGAAAATTTTATTTCACTAAGAAAAAATAGAAAAAAAATRMAA